TTCTTCATATATGTGCTAGAGAAGCTGTCAACCTGGAAACACCAATTAATACAGACCAAAACAAACCCTAGAAAACCATTTTCATTAGTCAAGCCAGGAAAGGGACAACCTAGTAAGACAGAAAACTTGTAGACAATAACTGCCCTCCTGTAGCCAAAAACAAAGACAAACTGTGCTCCATCCCCCACTCTCACCAACAAAGACTGAGTATTGAGCTTAAGACTTCCCCACCTTGCCCAGCTGTAACAAGACCCCCCTCCTGTGTCTCTTCCCCAACATTCCTGCTGGGATAGTATCAGAAAAGGTGAAGCGCTAGTCAGGAGCCTAGATTTTCATTCCCACTGGGCGGTAATGATGTGTGCCTTCCATCCCCCCACCCCAAACAGTAACAAGTGCCCTCTCATGGTGTCAATGGAGGCTATGTGGGAAGCACTAAGGAGGCACCTCTACCCTTCCCAGCCAAGATATGTCCGCAGACGCCTCGCGGGGAGCCGGGACTTGTACTCCCACCTGATGGCAACAAGGTGGTGCTCCCACATGTCCCACTGTGTGGAGTCAGAGGAGGCCTGCAAAAACAAATTTAAATAAGATCTAGAGTCTCAAAACATTCAGGGTGCAATTGAAAACCATCCGTCCTACCAAGAACCAGGAAAACTAAATGAGAAAAGACAATAGATGCTAAACCCAAAAAGACACTGATGTTGGAATTACCTGACAAGGACTTTAATGCAGCTATCTTTAAAATGATTCAATTTGCAGTTGAATCATGAAAAAAAATAATTCTCAACAAAGAAATAGAAGACGTAAAGAACCAGATGGAGATTTTTAAACTGAAAATACAATAGCCAAAATTTTGAAAAGTCAACAGCAGAATGGAGAGGGCAGAGGAAAAAAAATGAATGAACTTGAAGATAAAACATTAGAAATTACCCAGTCTGAACAAAAGAGAGAAAATATACTGAAAAATAAAAATGAACAAATCATCGGGGACTTGTGGGACTATTTTTAGAAGGTCTAATATTTGTACCATCAGAGTCCCAGGGGAGAAGAAAGACGATATGGTTGAAAAGGTATTCAAAGAAATGATAGTTTAAAATTTTGAACTTGGTGAAGGACATACTCAAGAACTCCTCAAGAAGTTCAGCAAACTCTGAACAGAAAAATCCCAAAGAAATCCACTCCAACATACATTATAACCAAATTTCTGACAACTAAATATAAAATCTTGAAAACAGTGAGGACACTTTACCTATAGGGGAAAAACAGAGTAACAGCAGATTTGTCATCAGAAACCATGGAATTTAGAAGGAAGTAGTACATATTTAAAGTACTGAGTGGAAAGAACTGTCAACCCAGAATTCTATATCCAGCATGTAACTGGCCCATCAAGGTTGAAAGTTGACAGTTGCACATTCAGACAGCACATCCTCACATTACAAGAATTCAAAGCTAAAACAGGATAAAGGAAATAATAGAGCTTCTTTGTCACATGCTTCTCACTTGTTAAGGAGGGGAAAACAAATTTTTCCCAGTGACAGTTTTTCCCTCCCTCAAGATGTACCTTTTGCAAGAACTGGATCCCGTAGCCATAGTAGATACAAGTATACTGATAAAGTGAGTATCTGACATTTTCAGGCTCAATAAGTGGGAGACAGGCAAGAAGGCAATGAAGTGAAGAATAGGACATAGCCAGCCCTCACGTTCACAAAGAACCATGAATTAATATTGTCTCTAAATGAGATTAGTGTCATTGACAAGGTTGAAATACGACATTTCTTACATTTAAAAAATCATGTATAAACATTTAGTATGCCTAATAGGTTTTTGTTGTTGTTGTTGTTGTTGTTTGAGACAGAGTCTAGCTCTTTCACCTAGGCTGGAGTGCATTGGCGCGATCTTGGCTCACTGTAACCTCCGCTTCCCAGGTTCAAGCGACTCTCCTGCCTCAGCCTCCCGAGTAGCTGGGACTATAGGCACATGCTGCTGTGCCTGGGTAATTTTTTGTATTTTTAGTAGAGATGGGGTTTCACCATCTTGGCCAGGCTGGTCTTGAACTCCTGACCTCGTGATCTACCCACCTCAGCCTCCCAGTGCTGAGGTTACGGGCATGAGCCACCATGCCCAGCCCTAATAGTTTTTGTAAGCTTGGTTTTGTCATCAAAAGAATTTTTATAAAACATATTTTGGGGCTGGGCATGATGGCTCACGCCTGTAATCCCAGCACTTTAGGAATCCAAGGCGGGTGGATCACGAGGTCAGGAGATCAAGACCATTCTGGCCAACATGGCAAAACCCTGTCTCTACTAAAAATACAAAAATTAGCCAGGCGTAGTGGCGTGCACCTGTAATCTCAGCTACTCGGGCGGTTGAGGCGGGAGAATTGCTTGAACCCAGGGGGTGGAGGTTGCAATGAGCCAAGATCACGCCACTTCACTCCGGCCTGGGTGACAAAACAAAACTCTGTCTCAAAAACAAAACAAAACAAAACAAAGAAAAAAATATTTTGGGATCCCCTTAAAATGGAATAGCCTTGTCTCGCTGTGAGAGGTTCTACAGATGGCTGTCCCCAGCCATGTCTTTGTCTCTATAGTTAGAGGTGCCGTTAGCAAATATTGAGAGCTTGTTCCACGCTGTACACTGTTTCAGAGGCTGATGAAAAAGTCATGTCCTGTACCTTCAGGAAAAAATCCTAGAAGGAACTATGAACTGTAAACCAGTAATTACAAGTGTCGGGGTGTTATGAAAGGGAAAGTATAAAGTGGTGTGGGAATATGTACCGAGATTTATTTAACCCATTCTGCGGTTAGGAAAGTCCTCTGTGAAGAAACGATTCTAGGCCATTGTTGGTTGGTTGGTGGTTTTTTTTTTTTTTGCAACAGAGTCTATTTCTGTTGTCCAGGCTGGAGTGCAGTGGTGCAATCTTGCTCACTGCACCCTCTGCCCCCTGGGTTCAAGCGATTCTCCTGCCTCAGCCTCCCAAGTAGGTGGGACTATAGGTGCGTGCCACCACACCTGGCTAATTTTTGCATTTTTTAGTACAGATAGGGTTTCACCATGTTGGCCAGGCTGGTCTCGAATTCCTGACCTCAAGTGATCCGCCCATCTTAACCTCCCAAAGTGCTGAGATTACAGGCGTGAGCCACTGTGCCCGGCCTAGCTTTGTTTTTATATGAAGCAATTTTGTTGTTCCCTGAATATCTTAGTGAGAGGCTGGAAGAGGCAGCCACTGGAAACTGTTAGCTAGATGTGATTTTAAATTCGGATTCTCTACTTGGAGGAGGGTGATAACACAGTACATTATCAAGTTTTCATCTGAACAGACTTTTAGTTCACATCGCTTCTATGCTACATATACTAGCTCTGTGACCTTAGGAAGGTCTTTTAATTGTTTTGAGCCTTAGTTTACTTATCTGTAAAATGGAGTTAATGATAACTTGCAGGGCTGTTAACTATTCTAAGACGTGATTCCACACTTCAAGGAGCATTTAGTCCAGTAAGGTGAGACAGACATATTGACAAGTAATTGAAAAAAGAAAAAGAAAAACGAGATGGTGTGGTAAAGATGGAAGAGTGATCAGTGGTGATATAAAGGAGTGATCTACTCTGCCTTAAGAGGGACTCAGGAAGGCTTTACAAAGGAGCTAGTATTCAAAACGGGCCTTGAAGGATGAATAGACAAGGTACGTGGCACATATGAAACAGCTTAATGCATCTGGGAGACCACAATTTGTTTAGAATAATTAGACCAGAAATAGGGCAAATGACAGAAGAAACTAGAGAGGGCCTGGCGCAGTGGCTCACGCCTGTAATCCCAGCACTTTGGTAGGCTGAAGCGGGCAGGTTCACTTGAAGTCAGGAGTTCGAGACCAGCCTGGCCAACATGGTGAAAACCCATCTCTACTAAAAATACAAAAATTAGCCTGGCATGGTGGCACGCACCTGTAATCCCAGCTACTCAGAAGGCTGAGGCAGGAGAATCACTTGAACCTGGGAGGTGGAGGTTGCAGTGAGTCGAGATTGCGCCACTGCACTCCAGGCTGGGCGACAGAGCAAGACCCTGTCTCAAAAAAAAAAAAAAAAAAAAGGAAACTAGAGAGGTAGACAGATTGTAGATTACAGAGGTCTTGTAGTGTTTGCTACCTACCCTGAAGATTTTGGACTTCATGCTGAAAGTGACTCACAGGTGTTGAAGAGTGTTCATCAGATTTGCTGCTGGTGGTGATGTGTTACACTGACTATGGGAAGATGCCTTAAGCTGTTGCATTTGAGGAAGGCAGTGGGGAGGGATTGGAGAATAGGCGACAGATTATAAACAGACTTAGGTAGTAGAACCAGCATGACTGGAGGCCATTGGATTATCCAGAAAGAAAGAGGAAATAGCAGTTCCCAGGGTTTCAGGGTTGGTAGACTGAAGTGGTCGTTGGCTTTATTCATCACAAGAGTGATATAAGATGGAAGAAAACATAAGAGAGGTAGACACTGAATTACGTTTTCTGTGCATGGTCTGACTTCTTCAGTATTTGATTATTCAGAGAAAAATAAAACACTAAAAATTAGGGTAAGTTCCTCTACTTTTTTCTTTAGAAAAAATGCATTTGTCTTGAGCATAGATTCACAAAGAGGTTAACAAGAGTACATTACAGACTAATAAGTTATGAGGGTTATAGAGGACAGTTCTATTCATTCTGCAGATATCATTAAGGAAAGAGCTAAAGAAAACATTGCAGCTATAACCATGTTGATACACTTAAAATTAATAAAGTTCTGAAAACATTTGGTGTGACTGTAGTGTTAATGATAAAGAATTTGAATTTTAGCATTTTAATGGTTTTGGAGTTTTTTTAGTGCAATTTTGACTTTGCATTAGTGTCTACAATTTATAACTAAATTTTATTTTTTTGAAAATGATATTAAGATGAATATTCAATCTGAAATAAAACTTACATACAAAGTGTTTAAAGTATATTTATTCACTGTTTTTTCTTCTATTCTAGTTACTATTTTTGGAAATGAAGAAAATGGTAAGACACTTTTAGTTTCAATTTAAGTTAAATGCTTAATGATATTTTAATTGGAACAGACTTTTTATTTATTGATTGATGAATACATGTGTTTTTGTTTTTTAGAAATAAAATCCCTATCTTTAAATTTTAAGTAATTAAAACAAGAGCTAGTAATGGGGTTATTTCCAGACCAAAACATTTCATGTATTCTCATTTTGTGTTATTTATGTAAATTAAAGTAGCCATTATTTTGTACAGCACTTAGTACCCAAACTTCTTTGTGTATTTATATAAATATTTCTGTCGCGTATGTTCTTCAAAACTTTTTATTTGGATTTTTTAAAATATGAGTTCTAGCTAGCTAGGTTGAGGAGACAATTCTGCTTTCATGATGTCTGAATTTTATTGATGGTTCTCGTTTAGGCATTTGTTAAAATCACACTTTACAATGCACAGATATTTAAGAAAATAACAAGAATGTAAATTTGTAAATTGCATTACCAGTTTAAGGAAGCTAAAGTTTTTATAACAACTAAGTAAAAAAGACAGTGCCTAGAGGGAAAAATCATTTCTCAAAATTTCACTGAGATAAAAGCATATTTCATAAGTCTGATGAGATTAAATTTAAACAGAATTTAATTGGACATGCAAAACTCCAGAGGATTTCTAAAATACTTGAACAGTTAGAAATTATCAGTATATAGTAATTCCTCTTACTGGAGATAATTAGGCATTAAGTATGTAAATCTTAAATTACCTTTAAATTTAATTTCTCAGTAACAGAATAAATGCAGACTCAGTTGGCTTATTTTCTTTCTTTAAATCAAAAATGTTTCCTGTATGTTGGAAGCACAGATACAGAAAGCAAAGAAGTTAGAAGTTCTTATAAAAGAACTTTTAACTTATATCATTATCTCTTGGGGCTATTTTTACCATGTCTCTCAAAGAGTTTTTTTTTTTTTTTTTTTTTTTGAGACGGAGTCTCGTTCTGTTGCCCAGGCTGAAGTGCAGTGGTGATCTCAGCTCACTGTAAGCTCCGCCTCCCGGGTTCACGCCATTCTCCTGCCTCAGCCTCCTGAGTAGCTGGGACTACAGGTGCCCGCCACCATACCCAGCTAATTTTTTTTTATTTTTATTTTTTAGTAGAGATGGGGTTTTACTGTGTTAGTCAGGATGGTCTCAATCTCCTGACCTCGTGATCTGCCCGCCTCAGTCTCCCAGGGTGCTGGGATTACAGGCATGAGCCACATTGCCTGGCCAAAGAATCTTTCAATACAGTCTTTTGTTATTGCTGCTGTTAGCTTGTTTGTTTTTAAATTCAGTTACAGGTGATTTTTGAACTTTTGAACACAGAGTTTGGTATATAGGTTTCAGGTTTTTCTTTCAACATTGATTTAATTTTCTCGGTTAACTATGATTTTACTTCTTCTATTGTAACCAATAGCAGGTATATGTAACCAGAAGTTTGCCTATTGATAATCACATTAATTTGAATTTAGTGAAAAGCATTGTTTTCTGTTATTCTTTACTCATTATAATTTAATAATACCATCTTTTAAGTACTTACTATATTCTAGGTCTTGTGTTAAGAGCTTTATTTTATCTATTTTTTAACAGAATATATTTTTAAGCAAAACCATTTTGTTTTGTTTTCATGAAGAAAAGAAATATTCTGAAATCATGTTAAATGTTTTTAAAACTATGAAGAGTATATTGTTTTTACATTTAAAGTATCTCAAAGTTACCATCTATCTCAAAGTTACACAATAGTGTATAGATGAGGAACAACAAGCTTGATTTAATATGGAGTCTAGGCAAAAATATTTATAAAGGAAGTAAGCAAAGTGAAGATAACATCGCAGGGTTGTTAAATGGTCTCAGTGTTATCGTAACAGTAGGAAACTCAGTTCTTGCACGCTTTTCCAAAGGAAAAACAAATGAAGCAATTATATATAATATATAAAAATACATATATATAATATGTATTTTTTCTTTTTCTTTCTTTTTTTTTTTTTTGAGATGGAATCTCGCTCTGTTGCTCAGGCTAGAGTGCGGTGGCACAATCTCAGCTCACTGCAACCTTTGCCTCCCAGGTTTGGGCGATCCTCCCACCTCAGCCTACCACGTAGCTGAGATTACAAGTGTGCACCACCACGCCCAGCTAATTTTTTGTATTAGTAGAGATGGAGTTCTACCTTGTTGGCCAGGCTGGTCTTGAACTCCTGACCTCAAGTGATCCGCCCACCCCAGCCTCCCAAAGTGCTGGGAATACAGGCGCGAGCCACAGCACCTGGCCAAAGCAATGATATTGAGTCCATTGGATACACCGTGGGGTTCAACCTGAAGGGAACTGACAGGATAGAGAAAGCAGATTTTGAAAAACCAGTTTTTAATACGCATGACGATCAATGTTAGTGGAAGCAAAAAGAGCACATTTGAAAATAGAAGGAAGTTACGGTTACAATTTTATCTTGGCATCAGATACTTGCTTAGAAGTAGAATATGACCATTAAGATGATGGTTGGAAACGTGAAGGAAACTGTAATTTTAGCTAGGACATAGTGAAAAGAACCTTGGATTTTTGTCAAACGAATATGGGTTTGAATTCTGGCTTCATCATTTAATAACTAAGTGACGTTGGACAAAGTATTAAATTCTCTGAGCCTCACTGCTTACATCTGTAAACTGGAATGATACCTTAGAAGACTTACTGTGAGGGTTAGAAATAAGGCATAGATTATAGTGCCTTCTAGTTGGCTTTTGGTACATAGGAGTGGTGATTTGAGTACCTATAGTCGGTTATGGTGACTGAGTAGTCCCATGGTTTTACTAGGATGCATTGGTAATGAGGTTGCAATTATTTCTTAGGAATTCTGCAGCCAAGAGGGAAAAGAAACTATGAGCAACATATTTTACATCAGCCACTGAGATGGATTGGAAGCAAGGAGGCCAACTGGCTCTTGCAGCAATCCAAAGAACATAGGCAACAATTTATGAACTATGCACCGACAGTGAAAATAATGATAATTATTGAAATTTTTGAAAAATAATGAAAATAGTAATAATGAGTTCACTTGGAGAGAAATTTTAGGAGCTAGAATTAGTAGCATTTGCACGGATAAGCTGTGAGATACGAGGAGTCATTTCAGGCCTGGGTTTCTGCATTGGTCAGCCGTGTGACTGGAGTTTCTGTTCTCTGAGATCAGGCATGAACCCAATACAATTTCAAAAGAAAAGGTTGGGTTGCAACAGGGTTGTCAAATTATTATTATTATTTTATTTGAAAAGAACAAGCACTTTTTAAACCAGAAACATAAGGGAAAATAAACCTCAGACCGAAGGAAGGAGAGTACTTCTAACTGAATACATGTTAGCTTTTACAAAAGCTTCATTACGTTCTTTTTTTTTTTTTTCAGTGCAGACCAGTGAATACTTTTTCACTTCTTAAAATTGAGAAACACTGATATAGGGAATGCACAAAAAGGACCAAATTTTGGAGAAAATAATTAAAATGCCTGGATAAGACTAAGTAATAATATTAATAGTCAGTATTTATTGAGGATTTATTGTGTGCCAGGCATTCTTCTAAGTGTTTTGTGTGTATTAGCTCATCAGTATTAAGCAGCTAGCTTTACTGAAATAAGTAATTGAAATCTAAGCAAATTATTTGGAGAGTGCAGTATGAAGAAGTAATGAATTCTGAAAGTATCAGAAAAGACCTTTGTGGAAGGAGTAGCATTTTATCTGAAGTTTAAAAATGAGTAGAATTTCAGACTTGTCTATATTTGTTATCTTCAGTGGGTTTATGGTGCTGCATTACAAACTGAAAAAGAGTTTAAGCATCTGGTAGATCTTGCTTCTTAAAGAAATCAGTACTGCTTCTTTCAAATATGTAGAATACAACAAAAAGCTTAAAATTATATCAGTGACAATATTTGGAGATAGAGATGTTGGACTGTTACATTAATCTACTTGGGAAATAGTTATGTTAGATATTCAAAATGGCCAAAACTTTTTCCTGTTAGCCTGTATTAAACAGGAATGAAATTTAGGGTACTTTTTCTGAACAATACAGGGAATGAGTTATTCAGATGTATTCATCATTTATGGTGATGGTAACTTATTTTATTTACTTTCAGTTGACAGTTCCTTGGATTTAATGTTCATAGTAATAGATTCTGTTTTAAATAATTTTAAGTCATTTAAGATGAACTTTTGGAGAACTTGAAATATAGTGAGTGAAGAAAGTGTTTTAGCTTAAATCTTCAGCAATTTAATATAATCAAATCTCATCTTAAATCTCATCTTATAAACCAGACTGATAATCCTTAAATATAGGAACAGAATATTTCTTCATATCTAGTAATGTTTCCTCATGCAAGTAAAGTTTATATATTTGATGTTTCAGTACATTTTAATTTGTTTATTGGATTCGGCCTCCTGACCCAATTATTGTGTTTTAATGTAATGCCTTTTGCTGTTTTCACCCGGATTCAATGAACTGTTATTTGTTTTTATTTACCAGGAAAGACCGTTGTTTACCTTGTGGCTTTCCATCTGTTCTTTGTTATGTTTGTATGGTCCTATTGGATGACAATTTTCACATCTCCCGCTTCCCCCTCCAAAGAGGTAAATTTAATGTTGGTAAATTACCAAATGTTTTAACTGATTATGGATTTTTTTTCCCTTGTGTTACCTTTGTTAAAACTTTACATAATGCATGTGTTCTGTTTCCATTCATAAAACTGCTTGGTTGCTCTGTACTGTGAATGTGAGTCATCAGCCTGTTCTCAGATACAGTCCACTGACATAGCATAGTAAAAGTTCAGCAGTATAGAAATGCTTACTACTTTTCTGCCATGCTATGTTTTCTTAAAGATATACTTTATATTACTGAAATAAAAAGTCTGAAGGAACGGAATTGAGTTAGGAAAGTAGAGTTTATTTTTAGAAACTCTCAACATTTATATTTTCTCAGGCATGAACAGATATGCTGCAATTAAAGAAAGTTTTGTGATGGAAACAAATTGTCTAGGCCATTGCTTGCTGCACTTTAATATGACTAGTGTTTCTTCTAATTGGAGGTTCCATTTGGAAAATAATATAGGTAAACATTTATGTGGAGTAGGTTTTATGACCAGTATGTCTCTCTTACCTCGCCATAGCTGACTGAATTCTTCCTTCACTGAAAATTTCATATAGCAAGGTGGTTAAGAATATATTCTCTAGAGTTAGAGTTGTCTGAGTTTGATCTTTTGCTCTAAGAATTTAATCTCTCCAAGCTGCAGTTTTCTTATCAAAAAATGGAGCTAACAATTGTGCCTGTCTCTGTAGGATGTTTGTAAAGATTGTGAGATTTATTCAGTTAAAACATGCATTCATTTATTTATTTATTTATCTATCTATCTATCTATTTATTTATTTATTTATTGAGATGGAGTTTCGCTCTTGTCACCCAGGCTGGAGTACAATGGCATGATCTTGGCTCACTGCAACCTCCGCCTCCCAGGTTCAAGCGTTTCTCCTGCCTCAGCCTCCTGAGTAGCTGGGATTACAGGCACGCACCACCATGCCTGGCTAATTTTTGTGTTTTTATAGAGACGGATTTCCCCATGTTGGTCAGGCCGGTCTTGAACTCCTGGCCTCAGGTGATCCACCCACTTCAGCCTCCCAAAGTGCTGGGATTACAGGCGTGAGCCACCATGCCTGGCGTGAGCTTTTAAAATAGTAGTTTACCTGCCACATTGTTAGGACTCAAATATTAGATGATGATGGTAATGTAATCGTTTCCCTTTGTGTTAAATTTATCAAAATCATTAAAAATTATAGACCATATGTTTAAAAATAGTATCAACTTCTATTTAACTTTGCAGTGAAGAACATATATACAAAAAGTACGCATATGTGTACACACCTGTGCAACTACTACTCAATTCAAGAAACAGAACATTACCAGAACCCCATCAACCCCCGATGCTTCCTTTCAGTCGTCCACTTCATAAGAAGCCACTCTCTTGCCTTCTAACAGCATAGATTAGTTTTGCCTGTCTTTTGTACTAAATATAAATGGAGTTTTGTAGTAGTGTGTGTATGGTGTGTATGTGTATGTCATAGTCATATGTGTGTATGTGGCTTCTTTCATTAACATTCTATTTGTAAGATTCATCTGTGTTATGTATAGTTGAAGATCATTCTAATTATTGTTTAGTATTCAGTTGTATGTAACACAATTTATTTACTCGGTCTACTGTTAATGAGCATGGGGGTAGCCTCCAGCTTCGAGCTGTTACAAGTAGGGCTGCTGCAAATGTTCTAGTGCATGTCTCCTGGATAATATATATGTAGTTATTTTGGGTAGATGCCTAGGAGCAGAACTAGTAAATATACATTTAACATTAGCAAGTAATGCCATACAGTTTTTTGCCTGCTTTTTCTATTAGATGCTTTTGTTTTAAAAGGTAAAGTAAACCATAAGTCAGACTTCAGTGTTGCTTCACATATATTCATCAGGCATTTGTTACTAATTAGTCAACCCTTAAAGTTATGTTACAAACTATCATCCATTTCTTAATCTTGAAATTGAAAAGGACTTAATTTTGTTTAATCAATTACTAGTAGTGATGACTCTTGAAAACATCGCATGTGTAAAAAGTAAATAATTCTCATTACAGGAAATAAGAAATAGAATAAGAAAAATAATTGGTAGTACTTTTGAGAAGCAGTGTAATGTAGAGGTTAAGAATGCAGGCCGGGCGTGGTGGCTCATGCCTGTAATCCAGCACTTTGGAAGGCCGAGGCAGGCAGGTGGATTGCTTTAGTCCTGGACTTTGACAACAGCCTTGGCAATGTAGCAAACCCCGTCTCTACAAAGAATAAAAAAATTAGCTGGGCATGGTGGTGTGCACCTGTAGTCCCAGCTACTCGGGAGGCCGAGGTGGGAGGATCACTGAGCCCGGGGAGGTTGAGCCTGCAGTGAGCCGTGATCATGCCACTGCACTCCAGCCCAGGCGGCAGAGTGAGACCCTGTCTCAGACAGCAACAACAACGGTACCACACAGACTCTGGACTAAAACTGCTCAGGTTCAGCTCGTACCTCTGCAACATACTATCTGTGTTAACTGTGACTTTGGAGACTTTCCTTAGTTGGTCCCTCCTCTGTAAAGTGAGGGTGATATTAGTAGCCACCTCATAGGTTAGCTGTAAGAATTGAGCAAATTGATAATCTATGTAATTACTAATAGATACGATGTGGAGTTAATAGTGTGTATAAAGAGCTCAGAAGAATGCTTAGCACCTAATAAGTACCATCAAAATGTTATTATTATTATTATTTTTTTGGTGGTTGTTTTAGCATATTGCATCCATTTCGCATTCAGCCCAGAGCTTAAGCCTTCACATCAGCTTCTCCTTCATTCTCATCTACTCCTGTAAGGTCATCTGTCTCCCCAAGCCTGTATCCAGTGACCTTGCTGTGGCATGCTTCATTTGCCCTGTCAGAGAACTTATCATCTGGTATTGTAATTGCCTGTTTACTAATATGCATCACATTATTAAATTTTAAATTTTGTGAGGGCGGGGATATTTACATTGCATTCTTCACTAGATCCCTTCCCACACTCTCTGGCACATAGTAGATTTTCAATAATTATTAAATGAACTAATTATTAAATCTTCATGGGCCAGCTAAGCTAAGCTCTAGGGACAACTCAGAACAGGAATTTAAGATGCTCTTTGCCACTGAGCTTACAGTGTGCTGACTGAGGTAGGCCTATATAAGCAATTACAGAGCTGTGAGTTTGGGGCTAATGTAATACCAAACTCACAGCTTTTGTTAGGAGGATTCAGTCATCTCAGAGGTTAGAACAGTGCTTGGAGATCCAGGTCTAGGGGAATAGATTGGGTCTAAAAAGCAAAAACTGGGGCCAGACGTGGTGACTCATGCCTATAATCCCAGCACTTTGGGAGGCAGAGGCAGGTAGATCACCTGAGGTCAGGAGTTTGAGACCCGCCTGACCAACATGGTGAAACCCCATCTCTACTAAAAGTACAGAATTAGCCGGCTGTGGTGGTGCATATGCCTGTAATCCCAGCTGTTTAGGAGGCTGAGGCAGGAGAATTGCTTGAACCTGGGAGGCAGAGGATGCAGTAAGCCAAGATCACGCTGTTGCATTCCAGCCTGGGCAACAAGAGCGAAACTCTGTCACAATAATCATTATCATCATCATCATCGTCATCGTCATCATCATCAAAAACTATAAATCGTTAAGGAAGTTAAGTTATAAATATGGGTGCGGTGTCTTTTTTTCATTGTTTCAATCAAGTACTTCTTGACCACCCACCGGATATCAGACTGTGCTAGGCTTAAAGGTAGAGACAAACAGTAAACAAAATAATTATAAATTGTGATAAATTTAGAAAAATAGCATGGTAATATAATAGAATATAACAAAGTAAAAGCTACTTCAGGGGAGAAAGAGCTACTTTTAGATAGTATAGTCAAATAAATCTCTGAGGAAGTGGCGTTTAAGCTGAGACCTTTATAAGTATCTCTTCCACTAAGCTTTTTGAAGGAAAAATCTTTGTTGTTTATTCCTGTATCCCCAGTAGTTAGAATCAGACCTCGTGTATAACAGGCAGTAAAGACTTAAGAAATGGTGAGGAAGAGGCAGCATGTGAATAGCTGATAAGCATCTCCCATCACCAAGTGTCATCTTTTCTAAAAAGAAAATACGGTCCCATCCCTTCCCTGACTATAATCCTACAGAGTTTGCCAGTTAGCTGTAAGATAAAGCTCATGTTCATTTGCATGGTACATCAAATCCCTTCATGAACTAAAATCTTACTAATTTAATCTTCATTGCTTCTTCATGGAACTCTATAATCAAGCAGTGTGTTAAACTGAATATACTGTACTATTTTCACATCGTTGTGCTTTCTGTATGCTGTTCCCTTTGCCAAGATTTTCTTTTCTTCTCTGTCTTCCTGAAAGTTTCCTGTTTATCGTTCAAAACTTAGGTACACTGCCTTCAAGAACTTTCATTGATACCTCCTACTACCTCCCAAGGGAGCTTTTATCATACCTTGTAATATATTATTAATGTTGTACTTTATGCTGATTCTTATTTTGTAATTCTTTGTTTATATGGCTCTCTTACTAGACTATAGAAATATACTTTTTGAAGGCAAGGGTTGTTTTTATTAATCTTTGGATCTCTGATATCCGGGACAACACCTTACTCTTAATTGGCATTTAATATATATTTAAATAGAACTATCTGAACACTGAATTTAAGACAATAATAGCATTTCATAGTTTGAATTCTGTTCACTAGTTTTGAATGAAAAGACAAACTTCTAGAGCTAATTCAAAATTACAATCTGTTTGAATTTTTGTTTTGTTCCATTCCTCATCTAAAACGCTGATGCCTCTTGAAATTTTCATTTGGTTAAGCTTTTCATAATTTTATAACCTTCTTTTTTTTTTTTTTTTAGACAGAGTCTTACTCTGTCACCAGGCTGGAGTATAGTGGTGTGATCTCACTGTAACCTCCACCTCCCAGGTTCAAACAATTCTCCTGCCTCAGCCTCCTGAGTAGCTGGCACTACAGGCGCATGCCACCACAGCCAGCTAATTTTTGTGTTTTTTTAGTAGAGACACAGGGTTTCACCATGTTGACCAGGCTGGTCTTGAATTCCTGACCTCGTGATCCACCTGCTTCGGCCTCCCAAAGTGCTAGGATTATAGGCATAAGCCACCTTGCCTGGCCCATAACCTTCATTCTTAAGGATAAGTGATGATGTTGAGTAGCAATAGAGAGCCTGAGCTTGGGATGCTACTGCAGACTAGGAATAGAACAGCCCAGAGAAATCTGTTGAAATTTTATAGGGAATCTGTAAAATTTGATCAGAACATCTTCTATTCAAATATATTTAACATGTTACCATGTGATTTTTATACTCTACTATGAATATGTAAGAGACACATCATGTCAGGAAAGAACTTTCTAACAAGTTAAAATTCTCTTAAAGAGAACATGCCATCTTGCAAAATAGGAAAATATTTCTCTGAAAGTATTCAAGAGGGACCCAATCTGTCAGAAATGTCTGAGGACCCCTCTTGTGATGGAAGATTAGATAAGGGACCTCCATTGTCTTTAAGACTTTTTCATCTTTAAGGTTATGTGAGTCTTTCCTGACTTCTTACTGTCCTGTTCATCTGTTCATGTGGCTTCTTGTCCCCTATAAGTAATTTGGGGGTTTCTTGTCCCATCACAATCTGATTGTGGAAGCTGAGCGAGGTAATCTAAATGGACTCCTACATTTCCCAAAGTGTGGTGTTTCAGTCAGGTTAGAGTAACAATCTATAAAAAGCAAAAACATTTATCTTACATTGTAATATAGAGGAAAATGTACCAGAATAGAAAACAGAATACCTGTATTTTACTATTGGCTCTGCCAGTAGTTCTGCAGTCTTAGAAAATTGCCTAAGTCTCTTAGAATCACAATTTCCTCAATTCAGAGCTCTCTCTACTATGCCAAGCTGTTGCCTTGTTTATAGCAGAATCCTGTGTTGTTAAGCTAATACCATTAGCGATGATGGGGCAGCAAGAGGAGGAAACACTTTGGTGTTTGAGTTAGCAACTAAACCAAATACTCCTTAAACATGAAAACTCAGGATTCCTTAGGGCTTTTTAAGCAGAACCCTACAAGTAAATAAAAATTGAGGAATTGTATTATTAAAATAGAAAACACAATGAAGAACAAATCTCAAGCCATTCTTAGTTGTTTTTTTTTTTTAGTCTACAAAATAAAGACTGATAGAAACCTATACTTCCTGGTAACATGAAATTTAACATGAGGCATAAAACTTAGGATCCTTGAGATGTTAGGATGACATATGAAAAGAACAATTAAAAAGGACTCTGAAGGGAAAATGCCATTAAGAGAAATGAACCAGAGGCTGGCCGCACATGGGAACAGACACTAAGAAGTGAAAACAAGAAACAGCTCTAGGCCGGGCGCGGTGGCTCATGCCTGTAATCACAGCACTTTGGGAGGCCGAGGCAGGCGGATCATGAGGTCAGGAGATCGAGACCATCCTGGCTAACACAGTGAGACCCCCGAAAAAAAAGAAAGAAAGAAAAATTAGCCAGGCTTGGTGGCGGGCGCCTGTAGTCCCAGCTACTCGGGAGGCTGAGGCAGGAGAATGGCGTGAACCCGGGAGGCGGAGCTTGCAGTGAGCCGAGATCGCGCCACTCACTCCAGCCTGGGGGACAGAGGGAGATTCCGTCTCAAAAAAAAAAAAAACAGCTCTGTAAAGGACGCTCTACTTGAAGAGGCCACTATGCTTGCCTTGACAATGTGTCATAATTCTGGTGAAAGTAGTCCTATTGGTTAGCTTTTTAAAATCTAAAAATGGTTGGTTTGTTTTTTTTTAAATGACTCATTGCCCTTCTTGAGACATTTGGCTAGAAATTAGTGGGACCCCATGACTGTGATTTAGCCTTTCACCCAAAGCAAGTAAATCTTTGGACATTTTTCCAAAAATTAAAAATCTCTTGACAGTAACTTTTGCGCAACTAAAATTTTTACTAATGGAGACTATATATTAAGCCTTTCTTGTGTAGAAATTTAATTTTATTTGTGAAAAACAAAGATGGAAAAATATTTAGTTCATGTTCTTTGCCATCTGGTGTGGAGAGCAAATCTTTTCTATGCCAAAGGTATGTAGTTTTTGTTAAAATGTCCTTGATTTATCTACTTAGCAGTTAAGTTTGAAGACAAGTTTTGTCTTCATAAAATAGTTTTTGGTTTTCTGTTCCAGATAAAACTTTTTCTGAGCATGATAATTAACATCATGGGATTTAAGAAATTTAATAGTCCTCTTTTCTTTTATAGTTCTACTTGTCCAATTCTGAAAAGGAACGTTATGAAAAAGAATTCAGCCAAGAAAGACAACAAGAAATTTTGAGAAGAGCGGCAAGAGTTTTACCTATCTATACCACATCAGCTTCAAAAAGTAAGAAAAAGAATAAGTGTTCCTTTTCTAATGATTTTAAAAATATGCCTATTCCTGCCAGGATATATTTGCATGGTTTGACTATTAAATGGATACTGTGATTGCCATAAATAATATCTGTAGCTACAAGACTTTCCTGTTTTCTCGTTGTGGTATTTCAGATGCAGAAATAGATAAATAGATAAAAACATCAATATAAATTGTTTAAGGGGCTCACTTTAATATGAATCTCTTCTGTACTTGTTTTTTCCCCCAACTCAACTTTCATGGCTAAAAATTTTAATTATTATTCTTAGTAAACTGTCATTTGGAAGTCTGAATTTGAGTATTACATGTCATCACTGAGTAATAAAAAAAAAATCTAATGGTGTGCTGAGAATGGGGAACAGTAAAAGACACAAATAGGAAGAAAGTGGTTCAGATGTACACGGCTAATACGCTGAGAGTCAGGCTGTGAGCTCAGGTTTGTCTAGCTCCAAAGCCCTGGGTGTTTCCTGTGTACTGATGCCTCCACTGAGATCCATGACCATAACAGCAGCTTCCTGTTCCTAGGTTGTAATCTTACGACAGGGAAGAGTCTGTGAGTGGCGGTCATTTAAATAGAGGGAATTGTTTTATTTTGTTTATTTAAAAAAATTTTTTTGTTGTTTTTTAGGAAATTGTTTTATGTATTATATACCTCATTAATTGGTTTAAACACCAGGTAATGATTGCAGCTTAACAGTTACTCTGTTTACATGTACGAACTCATTTAGACCTCACAACAACCTTATGAAGTGTAGACTATAGTTTCCATTTTACGGATGAGGAAACTAAGACACAGTGAGGCTAAGTAACTTGTTCCAAGTCATACAGCTAGTATAAAAAACAACAGGATTTTAAGTCCAGGTGCTCTGCCTCTTCAACCCACTAAGTTTCTACACTCCAATGGGAAATTACCTTTGTGTAGCTGTGTACAAACTGTGACTCAAGAAAATTTAAAGTGTCTACAAGATTTTAGGAGGGGATATTCGACTGACTGTCCTTTTTGCATAACTAATATAGTATAGAATGAAAACGTGGATTACAGATCAAACCCTAGCTTTTCCCTTACTAATACGGTACAAGTCACTTAAACTTTCTAAGCACTAACTTTCTCGTTTTAAGGTGATGATAATAATATTTACATGACTGAGTTAGTGAAAGTATTAAAAGAGACAATAGATGTAAAGTACTTAGTATAGCTCTTTGCATAGAATAATAAATTTCCAGTAATTTTTTTTTCTTTTTTTTTTTGGAAATGGAGTCTCACTCTGTTGCCCAGGCTTGAGTGCAATGGTGCAATCTCAGCTCACTGCAACTTCCACCCCCGGGGTTCAAGCGATCTCCTGCCTCAGCCTCCTGAGTAGCTGGTGTTACAGGCACATGCCACCACACTTGGCTAACTTTTGTATTTTTGTGTTTTTAGTAGAGATGGGTTGGCCAGGCTGGTCTCGAATTCCTAGCCTCAAGTGATCCACCTGCTTTGGCCTCCCAAAGTGCTGGGATTACAGGCGTGAGCCACCGTGCCTGGCCTATTGTTTTATTACATTTGCCTTTGATTATAGGTCTTTTAGGTGGTCTATATCCAGGGCCTCACTTCCTTCTAGTGAATTCCAGGCAGCGGGCTTTCATTCTCCCTTCCAGGATCAGTGGCGTTTTGTCATTCTGTCTTCTTGAAACGCGTTCCTCTTTGTGTTTTTCTGTAGTTTTATACTTCTGTGTTTGTATCCTTGTATGATTGTTCTTCATCCCACATTTGTTGTTTTCTCCTATGTCTTAACTTCACGATGGTGCCTTACCCCATTTTTTCTGTACTGTCCTTTCAACTGTTACTTTTAGCCTTGGAATTCTAATACCACAATATTGTGATCGTTTGCTTATTGTGCTGCATAATTTGTTTTCTTTAATAGTTTTCAGGAATTAGTTACCTTCTTAATAGAAATTACAGCAGATTCAAGGATATTAACATACTAGCACTCACCTACACTCCAAACGCTTTCTTGTGTGCCAGGCACAGGGGTAGATTTGCAGCTGCATACAGGGATTGCACGTCTACAGAGTGGTCTGCGATCTAGCTGCACCCTGGGATGCAGCGCCCTTCCTGTTATGTCAGAGGAGGGAGCTGCAGACCTCTGCCTCTGCCAGTCATCACCATCAAGCCTTCATCATTTCACCTTGGCATGTGCCCTTCAATTCAGCATTTCTTGCTCTCACTAGAGCTCCCCTTGTGTATTTGCAGCTTCCAAAGGATAGCTGTACTTGAATGGCCTCTTATCCAAAGCTTTAAGCTCCTACAATACTGGATTCATCATTTAAAACCTAAAATCTTGGGGGAGGAACCAAAAGTCTGCCTCGTTCACTTTAATATTCCCTGCATCTAGCAGTGTTTGTCACCTGGTAGAAACTCTAAGTATTTGTCAATGAAAAACACTACCCTTACCCAGACTCAGCTCTATTTCTATCCTTGGCACCACCATTCTTCTAGCCACCCTAGAAACTCAGGTTTCCTTTGATTGCTACTTTTGAGTTCAGTCTGCTTAGTCATGAAGCCTCCTTTTCCTACAAGGTGTGTTTGGTTTAATCCCATCTCAGAGCCTAGGTAATTTCACAGCCTTTGCAATGTCAGAATGTTGAGTGGAGAAGGGCAGGGGAAAGAGAAAAGAAGATACTCATTCCTGGTGTTACCACTTGCTTAGCCATTCAACCTTCGACAGATGACTGTCTAACCTTTGGGTGTCTTTGATCTGTAAAATGGAGAGATTGAACTAGGAAATCTCTAAGGTCCTTTATAGCTCTACTTTTTCAACATTACATGGTTTTACCTCCCTAGTGTCGGTAACCCAGGCAAGGTGTTATAGAAGGCCCTCAATAAAATATAACATACTCGGTCAATCAGGGCAAGATGGCCAAATAGGAACAGCTCCAGTCTGCAGCTCCCAGTGAGACCAACGCAGAAGGCAGGTGATTTCTGCATTTCCAACTGAGGTACCTGGTTCATCTCACTGGGACTGGCTAGACAGTGGGTGAAGCCCACAGAGGGCGAGCAGAAGCAGGGTGGGGCGTCGCCTTACCCAGGAAGCACAAGGGTTCAGGGAACTCCCTGCCCTAGCTGAGGGAAGCCATGAGGGACTGTGCTGTGAGGGACGGTGCTATTCGGCCCAGATGCTATGCTTTTCCCACGGTCTTCGCAACCCACAGACCAGGAGATTCCCTCGGGTGCCTCCACCACCAGGGCTCTGCGTTTCAAGCACAAAACTGGGTGGCCATTTGGGCAGACACTGAGCTAGCTACAGGAGTTTTTTTCATACCCCAGTGGCACTTGGCATGGAGCAAGACAGAGCCGTTCATTCTCCTGGGAAGGGGGCTGAAGCCAGGGAGCCGAGTGGTCTTGCTCAGCAGATGCCACCTCCACAGACCCTAACAAGCTAGGATCCACTGGCTTGAAATTCTCGCTGCCGGCACAGCAGTCTGAAGTTGACCTGGGACGCTGGAGCTTGGTGTGGGGAGGGGCTTCTGCCATTACTGAGGCTTGAGTAGGCGGATTTCTCCCTCACAGTGTAAACAAAGCTGCCAGGAAGTTCCAGCTGGAACTCTGCAAAGGCGCTGTAGCCAGACTGCCTCTTTTGATTTCTCCTCTCTGGGCAGGGCATCTCCGAAAGAAAGGCAGCAGCCCCACTCGGGGGCTTGTAGATCAAACTCCCATCTCCCTGGGACAGAGCACCTGGTGGGAGAGGAGGGTGTGGGCGCAGTTTCAGCAGACTTACACCTTCCTGTCTGCCGGCTCTGAAGAGAGCAGCGGATCTCCCAGCACAGCGCTCGAGCTCTGCTAAGGGACAAACTGCCTCAAGTGGGTCGCTGACCCCCATGCCTCCTGACTGGGAGACACCTCATACAGGAGAGCTGCAGCTGACATCCGGCGGGTGCCCCCTGGGAGGAAGCTTCCAGAGGAAGGAGCAGGCAGCAGTCTTTGCTGCTCTGCAGCCTCCACTGGTAATACCCAGGCAAACAGAGTCTGGAGTAGACTTCCAGCAAACTGCAGGAGACCTACAGAAGAGGGGCCTGACTGTTAGAAGGAACACTAACAAACAGAAAGCAGTAGCATCAACATCAACAAAAAGGATGACCACAAAAAAACCCCATCCGAAAGTCACCAACATGAAAGACCAAAGGTAGATAAATCCCCGAAGATGAGGAAAAACCAGCGCAAAAAGGCTGAAAATTCCAAAACCAGAATAGAATGCCTCTCCTCCTCCAAAGGGTCACAACTCCTCGCCAGAAAGGGAACAAAACTGGACCGAGAATGAGTTTGACAAATTGACAGTAGTAGGCTTCAGAAGGTGGATAATAAATTCCGCTGAGCTAAAGGAGCATGCTCTAACCAAATGCAAGGAAGCTAAGAACCTTGATATAAGCATACAGGAACTGCTGACTAGAATAACCAGTTTAGAGAAGAACATAAATGACCTGATGGAGCTGAAAAACACAGCATGAGAACTTTGTGAAGCATACACAAGTATCAATAGCTGGATCGATCAAGCAGAAGAAAGGATATCAGTGATTGAAGATCAACTTAATGAAATAAAGCATGAAGACAAGATTAGATAAAAAAGACTGAAAAGGAATGAACAAAGCCTCCAAGAAATATGGGACTATGTGAAAAGTCCAAACCTATGTTTGATTGGTGTACCTGAAAGTGACAGGGAGAATGGAACTAAGTTGGGAAACACACTTCAGGATATTATCCAGGAGAACTTCCCCAACCTAGCAAAACAGGCCAACATTCAAATTCAGGAAATACAGAGAACACTGCAAAGATACTCCTCAAGAAGAGCAACTCCAAGATACATAATCATCAGATTCCCCAAGGTTGAAATGAAGGAAAAAATGGTAAGGGCAGCCAGAGAGAAAGGTTGGGTTGCCCACAAAGGGGGAAGCCCATCAGATTAACAACAGATCTCTCTGCAGAAACCCTGCCAGCC